CAGTACAATAAACTTTTAACAATAAAAAAATCGATTTTTTCGCAAATTATAACAGATAGGATAAGAAACTATTTAGCAAAAGTTCAAAGTTTTCTTGTCCAGGATAAAACACACTGACAATATAGGCGGCGCAACATAAAAAATGGAAATTTTTCAGCTTGGAAAAAAGGTGAATTTGGACGATTATTATGCCCAGTAGTAGTATCAAACAAGAATATATTGGAAATCAAAAATTAACACAGCATTAGCTCTTTTTCCAGCCAAACTTCAAATTGTTGTGTCTAAAGACAACGAAGAAATTTTCGTTTCATCAATACCAATGAAAATTTTTATCGTTAAATCCGAATAGCAAAAAACTTATCCTATTTTCGATCATATTTTAAACAAAAAAAAATAATTAAAATGTACATAAACATTTAAAAATTAATTTAAATATTGGATGTTTCATTACAAAAAATGCAGTTCTCTACTCCGACGATTTTCCGACGCACTCTGTATATTTGTGAATATTTAAATTAAAATATCAACGGCTACGCGTAAACTTACGTGACTTTATCGCTCGTACATCTTGTAAAATTATTTTTTGTTGCACTAGTTGCACTTTAATATTACCTTTAACAGTTGTGTCCGTAAAAAACCATTTTTAAACAATTAATTTATATAATTTTGAAAAGATACAGGGTGTTACAAATTCTAGTAGCTTGAACTGTTCGTTTTATAATTAAAAATCGTAAAGATATAGAAAGTACAATTCCGATTTTAAAATATTTACATTTGAGAAACGCTTAAGAATTTTTTTCCAATAAAATTAACTTAATTAATAACATAATGTTAAGGAAAACTCCAGATGTTTTAGTAACGAGACTTGATATAAGCAGGCAAATCAAATAATGACAAATTTTATGTTTCTTGTTTTTTTCTCAAATCTTATATATACAGGGTTATTCACGCTCTACGGCACAGACGTTTGCGGCTAGCCCGTTTCTTTTTTGCAATAGACGCCTATCGGGTGCACATTTTAAAAATAGTTTTGTAATGTACAGAGTCTCCCAAAAGCCCTAAAAGTATCAAAGTTGTGTTTTTCTAAATGAAATACCCTATATATTAATGCATTTTTGGATTCTCTGAGCAAAATAAGTGTTTGTTTTAATAAGATTTATAATATCTAAATCTA